GGCCCCAAAACACCCTCGGACCCCAGAGGGTTAAAAGGCCTTCAAAGCTTGATTTGTATAAGTGCGTGTTCCACTTCCAAATTCAACTCTGCTATTCATCTCCCCGGTTTGAGAATATCAGATTAGCTAACTGATAGTCCTCTGCCATTTAATTCACTAAAAAACTAGCGAACTTGAAAACGCGGTGCTCAGAGAGAGTGTCCGAATGTTATTTTTTTTTATGGGAGAATTGTAAAATCTTGATCAAGTGAAATTGTGGTTAAATCCACGTGTGTTTTGTCTGTATAAATATGTGCTGATATCCGCCGAGATATCAATGACAGTGAATTAATTGCAGTAAATCTGTAGAATAAATTACCTCACTCTAAACGAGTGGAGATTGTTACACGGCGCTATAAAGATAAAGATCTTTTGGTTGTTCAGTGTGGAATGTGCCGCCATTTCCACATGAAGAGCATAAACTGTGTATAGCCATAAGACTGTGTGTAGCACAGGCCAATTATTGCAGGATACGTAGCCACAGTAACAGCCGTAGCCCGGAAGTTCTAAGAAACCCTTTCCGGGATAATTTTGAAGTGCGCAAGCGCAGTCCGCCAGCGCCATTTTTGAGCTGTTTGTACACCTAACTGTGGGACCAATGGACCTCGTTCACCCAGTATTCGTCTCACCACTCAACACGTATCCACTCCTCAGTGGAAAAGACCTGCTTAATCGCTTTGAACCCTTAATTGACTTCAAGCAACTAAATTTTCCAGAATTGGAAGAAAGGATCAAGGAGGAAGGAACGCAACTTATTGATTTGACTCCTGTTGATACAGCTTTAGATGCTATCACTCGCCTTCCGCCCGCTGGCACGCCAATCATTTGGTCTTGTTCTGCCGCTGACACAGGGCTTTGCGTTTCTGCTATTGTAGGATATGTTGTGACTCTGACACTTGCCTTCCTCCTCCACAAGTGAGTGAACGCTGTCCAACAAGCTGTCCAACTGAGTCTGTCAACAAGTGCACGTCCGGCGTCCAGCGCATGTTCCGACGTGATAAAACTGACCAAGAACCTGAACCTGAGAACTCAACAAACCTGATTGATAGGATATGTTGTGACTCTGACACTTGCCTTCCTCCTCCACAAGTGAGTGAACGCTGTCCAAGAGTCTTTCAACAAGTGCACGTCCGGCGTCCCGCGCATGTTCCGACGTGATAAAACTGACCAAGAACCTGAACCTGAGAACTCAACAAACCTAATTGAGAGTACGCCTATACTGCCTCAAACACTGACCACAGTGATGGAGATGTTTTGTGAAATGAAACCAACATCTAAACCTCTGTTAATTCTCATTAAGAACTTTTGTATGACAGAAATAAAGTCAAACTGGTTATTAACAAGTGAAGCTGGTGATGCTGTTTGTGGAGTTGTTTAATGCTCCTCTGCTGAGATCTTGAGAGATT